AATAATTGCTAAACAGGGTTTAACGGTCTTTTTCGGATGAAATTCATTCTGGAGCTGACATGTAAGCGAAAGACAGTGAGAGTCGCTTTGAGCGCGACACGTAAACAAATCACTACACAAATAAGTATATAGATTAATTTGAATGGTTGTCGTGAAACACCCTGTCCCGATTGTTCTAAAGTTTCAAGTTTGGGCTATCTTCTAGCCGAACCTCAATATGTTCTACTATTTTTCTTATTTAAGCACTTCTTAAAAGCGATTTCTTTCAAATCTTCCCTTATAATTATACTTAGCCATTTAACTTAGATTCACTTAACCTTTCTAAATAAACGCAGCTGAATTTCTTTTCTACTTAAATCTTTGTTTTCCCTTAATCTAATTCCAATAAAGTGTTTGTCCGGTCAGATTCTCTTTTACTTTCAGACAATCTCCTATGACTTCCGTTTGGTTTATAGAATAATTTTAGATTCGGTTTATATTATGCATCCTATGCATTCCATTCTCTAGACCTAATCGTCTAGTAATATGTCAGTCACTAACTACTTGTTCCTAGTGTAATGTACTTACCATAGTCATGTCTGCGATTTGGTTACCCATTTAATATGCGTCTTGAATTGATCAGATCTATGCGCACGTCTACCTTGAATGTGTTCCTTGCCGAATCACATTCAATCCTTGAACCATATCCTATGGATAGAAACCATTATCTTCCATACTTAGTCATTTAACCAACAGTCTCCATGACTAAGTAACCAATAGAGAATCTTTTATCTCGGTCCGTCAACGTGTGCAGATCTAGTCTCGGCTTATGCATTATTTCCGTGACCGTTTCTCTGGATCTATCTTGATCAGACGAATCTCCTCCCAGGCTACAATTTCTTACCCTGATCCGAATCTTCTTCCCTTCCTAGTCGATTTTCCTGATCGCTCATGGCCGCTCTTGGCCAGATGTTCACTTTTTCCATCAACACCCTTGGTTGTGGATCACTTCTTTTGCTATGTGTTTACAGCCTAGAAAAAACCGTTCGCCTGACTCTATTCCCTTAGTCCTGGTGGTCCATGCTGTCAGCAAGATTCCATTTTGGTCGAGAAATCTCGCTTGGCCGAGTATCTTTTTTTTTGTATATCCGTGTTTCTTTCTGTGTGTGTGTGGGTGTGTGTGTTCTATAGCCACGAAAATAATATCTTTTTATAGAATATGGATGGGTGTCTCTTTTCATAAGTGCCCATCCTTTGCACCCTAATCTAAGCCGTTCATTCTTTCAACTCTCTAAATTGCACCCTTAGGATTCATAGACGGTTATTTGTTTCCTTGCACCTTTTGGTCGCATCCTCCAATTCGTCCATGACCTAAAGCTGCCATATTCCCACCTAGCTCATCAATTATCTGTTACTCCATCTAGCTGGATCAGTACTCGATCAGCTTACCGAGCTAAGTTAAGCTGCTGATCAGCTTGTCCAGCTAGTTCAGCTAGTAGTTCAGCTACTTCATCTCTTTCAGCTGGTTGAGCTTGACAATTTTCCCTCTTTTTATCCCGCTAAGTCATTCTGTTTCTCAGCCCGTCTAAGCTTATACGATCATTGCTTTTGACATGCATTGTTCACGATCATTTTCTTGATTTGACCCAAGTCTTTCCCTGAAACAAATTGGCCCATTGTAAGTTCGCAGGACACGTACATTACAAGTCTCCCCCCCCCCCATTAAATGGAATTTATCCTCGAATTCCGCTGTGGTAGAATCTGGTTTCCCTTGATCTTGGTCCATCAAGATTTAATATTATCCCTTGGTTTTGTCTTTGTTTGGGCTCGGTCTAACTTTCTGATCTTGATTCTTATTAGATTCGATCTCATTTCTTCCATGACTTAATTTAACTCTGACTAATTTGAATGTCCGATCATAGTCTAAATCTGACTTGATCATCCAGTCTTTATCCATGCCAGACTTAATCATGTTTCTCTTGATCTTAGTTATTCCCGACTAGATCTTTACCCGATATTGGTCTTTTCTGGAACTTTATCCTCTTTACCGACTTTGGTCCTTCTTGCACTCGATATTGTGTTCCCGATCGTAGCCAATCCCGACTAGATCTTAATCTGACATTTGTCTTTCGTTGGACTCGATCTTAACCTGACCTTGGTCCATTTTGGACTTGATCGTATTTTCTCCCCTTCTTAGATTTATCTTGGCTAAGTTGGACTCTCAATCATAGTCTAACCCTGAATAGATTTTCTGATCATAATCTATTTCTGATTAGATTACCTTTTCCATGATCTTGGTCAATCTCCGACTTGATCATATCTTTATTCTTTATTATGCTTTAATCTTTCAACTTTTGTAAGCAATCTCTTGGTTCACGGTCACGCTTTGGCAAACATTTTCTTGTTCCCAATCACATTTTCCGGTTTTACCTCAATTCCCATCTAATCTTAAGACTTAGCATAATTGGATCCCTTTATTCCCTTGGTCCATCTCCAAAATTGTAGGTTTTTTTCAGACTCGACCATCACATTCCCGCAGTCTATCTGACTGTTCCATATTCTGTTTGCAAGGCTTGCTTATCTTTTTTTCTTTCTTGACTAGGATCTAGTTTCGTCCGAACAGATAACATGATATTTGTATCAATGGTATAGGAACGTTACATGTTCTCCCCCACTTAAATGGAATTCATCCTCGAATTCGGTGGTGGGTAAAACCTTGTTTCAAGCCCTTTAACTATTCCCAAATCCCATTCTGAATAGACTAGACTGCTTAACATATTTACGTTTTGTAGTTCTTGTCTTTGAATAGTCCATCTTGGCTCATTTGACATGCCTTGGTAAACTCTCCCTTTGATATCCCATCTTTCCTCAACTCCTATTTAGCTCACCAACAACTACGTTATTGGTTTACCGACTTGTATTTTGAGTGTTCTATGAGTTAGCTCGGACTTATTTTTTTTTTATTATGTATCCCGGATCCCTGTTACCACTTAAACCCGATCCTACTTTCGACTTAACTCATCATTCACCGCGACAAAACACTTCCCAAAAGTATCTTGATCCCTAAATAAGCCTTGGCAAGAACACTAGACTCCCAAGTACTCGTCTTAAGCAATCTCAACCTTCAGAACGTATCATTGCCCGGTTATAATCCAGTTTTTTCACTAATTTCTCGACATTTATTTTAGTCGTTTGTGGATCACTTATCAGCTTTACCAAGCATATATCCTTCCCGAGGACCAAGCATGTGATGATACCAACTTGAAATATCCCGTCCCAGTCGTTCTACGGCTGTGGACGACGCGTTCCAGGTTCAGGCAGTCTTTTAGCCGAACCTCAATATTTTATACAATATTCTTATTTGATCACCTTTTAAAGGAGATTTTCTTCAAATTTTCTCTTATGACTTTACTTAACAATTTAACTTAGATCCACTTTACCTTTCTAAATAAACGCAGCAAAATTTCCTTTATACTTTAATCATTGTTTTCCATAGTCTAATTCCAATAAAGTGCTTGCAAGGTCAGATTATCTTTTACCTTCAGACAATCTACTATGACTTCTGTTTGGTTTATAGAATAATCTTAGAATCGGTTCAAGTCATGCATCCCATGCATTTCATTCTCTAGACCTAATCGTCGAGTAATATGTAAGTCACTAACTACTTGTTTCCAGTGTAATGTACTTACTATAACCATGTCCGCGATGTAGTTTCCCATTTGATCTGCGTCTTGAATTGATCCGATCTATGCGCACGTCTACCTTGACTGTGTTCCTTGCCAAATCACATTCAACCCTTGAACCATATCATGAGGATATAAACCATCTCTTCCATATTTAGTCATTCAACCAACAATCTCTATGACTAAGTAACCAATAGAGAATCTTTTATCTCTGTCCGTCAATACGTGCAGATCCAGTCCCGGCTTATGCACCATTTTCGTGACCGTTTCCCTGGATCTATCTTGATCCGATGAATCTTCTCCCATGCCACAATCTCTTACCCTGATCCGAATCTTCTTCCCTTTTTAGTCAATCTTCCTGATCGCTCATGGCCGCTCTCAGCCAGATCTTCACTTTTCTCATCAACACCCTTGGCTGTGGATCACTTCCTTAGCTGCGTGTTTACAGCCTGGAAACAACCGTTCGCCCACAATCCTTCCTTGGATCACGGTCGGCCTGACTTTGTTCCCTTAGTCCTGGTGGTCCATGCCTTCTGCGAATTTCCGCTTTGGTTAAGAAATCTCTCTTGGCAGTGGATCCTTTCTGTATTTCCGTGTTCTTTTTGTGTGTGTGTGTGTGGGTGTGTGTGTGGGTATGTCCTATAACCACGAAAATAACATCCTTTGATTGGAAATGGATGGGTGTCTTTATCCATAACTGTCAATTTTTCGCATTCTGATCTAAGTCGTCCATTTCTCCAACGATCTAGTTCGCACCCTTAGGATTTATAGGTGGTTATTTGTTTCTTTGCACCTTTTGGTCGCATCCTCCAACCGTCCATGATCTAAAGCTGTGATAGTCTTACCTAACTCATCAATTAGCTGTTAGTCCATCCAGCTGGATCAGTACTCGATCAACTTATCGAGCTAGATTGAGCTGCCGGTCAGCTTGTTCAGCTAGTTCAGCTAGCTCAACCTCGACCAGCTTAGCTAATAGCTCAATTACTTAATCTCTTTCAGCTAATTGAATTCGACAATTTTTCTTTTTTTTTTATCTTATTAAGTCATTTGGTCTGTTTTTCAACTCTGACTAAACCTATATGATCATTGCTTTGACATGCATTGTTCACAAGAATGATTATTGTAAACTTTTTTTAATCAGATAGCACACATAGAATTTACAATAAAATATCAAAATAAAAAATTGTGTCCCCTAGAGAAGGAAAGCTCAAAACTACTTAAATTCGACTTATAGTCCAATTCATCTGCAAGTCTTTTTGGTACCACAGCACACAGAGACCCTCTCTCTCTCGTCTCCTCTCTCACACTCTCTCTCTCTCTACAAAAAAGAATAAGAAGAGAGATGAAAAGAAAAGCAACCCAATCTTCAGTCTGAAAACTCCCTATTCTTCTTCTTCCTCTTCTCAACATTTTATCTTTTGGTAATTGTTGAGAGATTCTCCACACACACACACACACCTTCTTCTTTCTTTTTTTTCTTTGTCTCAAGAAGCAAACAAACAAACAAAAAAAACCCAAAACCCAAGTTGGGAAATTTCATTTTCTTTCCCCAGAAAATCTTTTTTTTTGTTACCCATTTTACAATTATTTTGCAGCCAAAAACAAAAAAGATGAGAGATTTGGTGTCATGTTTCAGCGAAAACTCAATAAACGTGACTCATTCATTATCTTCATCATCGTTAACATCATCATCATCATCATGTTCAAGATTCAACACCAGCAACGCTTGTATCTCTCCATCTCTCATACCATCCATACAAACCTCCATTACAAGCATCTACAGAATCACTTTATCATCATCGAAGCATCTCATCATCAAAGTCACATGGTGCAACAAGAACAATCATCCTCCACAGTCCAACAACAATGGTCTCAGCATCTCTGTTTCCTCCGCAGATCAAAACCCTTCAACGTCTCTCAAACTCAACACTTCCTCTCGCTTCTTCCGCAAGAAGAAAGGAAACAAATCAGTCGATTCCGATCTCGGCAAAATCGAGGTTTTCTGGGATCTCTCTTCAGCTAAATACGATTCTAATCTGAGTCCTGAACCTGTTCAAGGCTTCTACGTTATCGTCCTCGTCGATTCTCAATTAGGTCTCCTCCTCGGAGATTCCTCTGAAGAAACCTTGAGAAAAAAAGGTTTCGGTTTCGATTTCGATTTTGAAAAGTCTCTGGTTTCTCGGCAAGAACACTTCTCCGGGAACGCTTTTTACTCGACTAAAGCTAAATTCGCTGAATCAGGAGATTCGCACGAAATCGTTATCAGATGTAACGCAGAGAAAACAGAGGGTTTGAAACAGAGCAATCATCATCATCATCATCATCATTCCCCTGTTCTCTCTGTTTGTGTCGATAAGAAGACGGTAACGACAGTGAAGAGGCTGCAATGGAATTTCAGAGGGAATCAGACGATTTTTGTTGATGGGTTGCTAGTGGATCTGATGTGGGATGTTCATGATTGGTTCTTTAGTAATCCAGAAGGTTGTGGAAAAGCTGTGTTCATGTTTAGGACAAGGAATGGTTTAGACAGTAGCAGGCTTTGGTTAGAAGAGAAGATGGTTAAGAAAGATGAACAAGACAAGCTTGACTTCTCTCTCCTCATTTACGCCTGTAAGACGTAAAAAAACCGATTCTTTTTTTTTTTATCGTTTTGAGATTTACAAGAGAAGATGATTGATTCTGTTTTTTTTTTAATATCTGAGAAATTTTTATGGATTTGTTTTTTTTTTCTTCACTTACAATTTCTTCTTGAAAGGAGTATAGATTTTTTCTTTACATTATTCTTTTCTTGGAGTTGTGATTTAATATAGAGAAATTCCAAAATGTGGATTTCTTCTTAAGAAGATTGATTCTATCATTCTAAATATCAAGTTGTTGTTCCTATTTTCTTTTTATTCTTTTCTTATAAACTCAGGATCATTGCCTAATCTTAAATTGAAAGCCATTTGGTGGAAAATATGATCTCTATGACTCTCTATTTATTTTGTTCAACATTATAAATTTATGATCTCTATATTAGGAATCTTTGTTTACCCATCTCTCCGTAAGCTCATCTACAATTGATGATTGTAGAGTGTGCAATAAGATGAGAAGAAGAATGCTAATCTACAATTAAGGAAGAAGAGTGTGAAATAAGATGAGAATATATTTGGGGCATATGTGCACGCCTATAAAGATATGCATGGAGCCTCTTTAAAGTACAAAAGTTAAAAAAGCCTAGAATCTACTCATGCTAGAATTTTTATTTAATCTTTTTTTCGGATTTCGGTTAGGAAAAGTTTAGGTGATTAACATCACATTCAAGTAACAAATTCTTCTAGTTTTAGGTGACTACATTGTAAATTCTAGTTTGGTCTGTCTGGCTGATGGTTTAATTGTTTTCGGTTAGGAGAGATTTAGGTGGTGACATCCCATTCAAACAACGATTTTTTTATATATAATTGGTTGGTTTGTAGAGTTTTTTTTTTTGTTTTTCGACTGTTGATTTGTAGAGTTTTAGGTGGCTACATTGTAAATGCGTGTGGTTTTTTTTTTTTTTTTTGAGGTGTAGAATTGGAGTTCAAGTAAATAAAGAAAGCCAAAATATACTTCTGTTTTTATAGTAGTTTGAGTTTTTATAAATTGGATCCGATTATGTAAAACATAGAAAATTTTGGTTAAAAGATTGTTTAACTATGTCTCTGTAATTATTTACTCATCAGGATATGAGTATAGTATAATGTGACAGTATACAAAATTAAAGATTCGGTCAACATAAAATTAAAATATTGCTTCTGAGTCATTTAAAACCAATTTAGAATTTGACTGCCTGACAAATTTTACCATACAGTAATTGACTTGTTATAGAAATTTAACTATTAAGCAATAGTAAATACACAGAGAGAGAGGCCAGTAGCACGTTTTCACGCTAAACGATAAAGAAAATAAAAAAACATGTAGGATACAAAAATGTGATGTGTGCCCATTATTGCATTTCATTTAATCCATTACAACAACATTTGCATTACATGAATGATTCAGGTTGCATATTTACTACTCTTTTTATATTCCAAGATATAGTTCGCAATAATCAATTACTTGTATCGAGCTTTAACCTTTAACAAACAAAAAGTATCGAGCTTTAACCTTTATAGTTGTTACTAGATAAGTATATGCAGATTTATGAATTTATCATTTGTTAAAATATATAACACAAAATAATGAAACTAAAATAATTAAAATAGTAATGTAACAATAACCACATTATGCATTAACTTAACATGTGTAATATAAACTAAAAAAATTACTTGTAATATATGAACTAAAAACATTAGCAAAAACTTTTTTAGTTCCATATCTCGTTTGTATTAAGAATTTTGCTTGGGTTCTACATTGTCACTTAATCAGTTAAGGCGAAATTTAACATTTTTGCTTAGTTTTACAATTAATTTTATCGGCTGAACTGACTGGAATTGGAAAAAACTCAACCTGAGTGTGAAGGAGGAAATTTTTCTCCATTTTAGGCTTACAGACTTATTTTGTATGTGGACGATACAGCAGTTAAACTGTCTCATCGTGTCTGTTAAACAACTTATTGCCTGCACCTTTGACTATTTTCTACATATAAAAGTTGTGAATTGTCTCATGATTGATTTGATGCTAGAATCTGGTTTTAGACTATTAAATTTTAATAAAACATAATAATTAAAAATTAAAAAATATCGAAAAACCTTCAAACACTCAATAACAAAAAAAAATTAAAAATTTTATCGGAAACTCATTAGAAAATTTTCAATAAATCATATCTGTTAAAAATTGGAAAATTGCAATATATAACCAACAATAATTCTATAATTAAGAGAATAACCATATAAGAAGGATAATTACTATATTCTCTGTATAATATACAATACATATACAACAATACCTTTGAATATCTCCACTAGCAGAAAATAAAATATTTACTTTAATATTTTTCTCTTCTACTTACTTTTAATACGTTGCTTAGTCGTCTGTTCATCATTCTCCCCTTGTGTATATGGAACTCCACAATTCAGAACAGTCATCATAACAAAATTTTCAATGAAGAATCAAAATGGGTTTCCAAAGAATAAATACTTAAGATACTATTTAATTTCTGCATGCTTTGTTATGCAGTCTAGATTTGAAGTTCAATTCTGGGTTTGGATTTCGATTTGTTGAATTCTGGGTTTGGATCTATATTTAGATTTCAATTTCGATTTCGATTCTGGGTTTCGTAAGACATAGAGTTAAATAAACTTTCTATGTACAAAAACAATATCCAATCAAACTATGTATAAATGTTTTATACATATATTGTCAATTTATACCCTATCAATAAAAGATCAATTCACATATGTATACCGAAAAAACACAGACATATATATATATATATATATATATATATTTGATTCACATATAATCATTTTATGTATATTTTATGTACAATAACGCGTGCGGTACATTGAGAAAAAATTCTTTTTCCAATTAACAATTTACTTTTATCTTTATCCATAAAGATATTTTCGTTTTAAAAATTTTTACATTGTTACTTGCTTAATTATTTGATTTTTATAGTTATATTCTTCAACAGTTAATGAATTTTGATTATTCATTAAATTAACCCTTAGAAATTTGGAAGGATTTTAACCGAACCATAAAATCATAAAAAATTATTGAAAATCTGAAGTTTTTTGTTCGTGTACTATACGGAATTACCTTCTGTTTTCTTTCTTTTGACTTCTTAGAATTTGCAGATTCATTATTGTATAAGAAATTTTTGGGAAATCGGCCAAAACCTACTTCAACTTCACCAAATGGTGTGAAAACATACCTGAGAAATTTGAGTGCCCGAATACATACCTGAACTCATTAAAACCGGCCTTTTCATACCTGCACTAATAAAATTTTGGCAAATCCATACATTGACTAGTTTCCCGTTAGTCAACGGTCTTATTCCGTTAACGGAAAAAAATCCCGTCGCAACGTCACCGGAATGGAAAACGACATCGTTTTACTTTTTTTTTTTTGTTCGTCAAAAATCAAAACGACGTCGTTTTGATTATTTTTTTTTTGTTCGTCCTTATCAAAACGACGTCGTTTTGATTAAATTTTTTTTTTGTTCGTCATGATCAAAACGACGTTGTTTTGGTAACTGTGAACAAAAAAAAAAAATACTCAAAACGACGTCGTTTTGAGTATGACGAACAAAAAATTTTTTTTTGTATATTAACCGATGTAAATTCAGTAATAATGAGTGCGAAATTCAGTCAG